AAATAATAATGATGATAATAATAACAATGATCATACAAATTACAATAGTTTCAAAAATTATGGCATTAAGATAAAGATAATAATGATAACATCAGTGGAGAATTGGAGGTAACAATGCTAACAAAAATTATGATTACCATCAAAATCCTTCACAAAATTACCATCATCATCTTTATAATGATATCATCATTATTACCAATACCCTGTGTCATTATCATTATTATCAAAACTGTGTCATTATCATTATTATCAAAACTGTGTAATTATCATTGTTATCAAAACTCTATGTCATTATCATTATCATCACCGCTATTATCATCATAATCATTTTTATCAGTGTCATCAAAACTAATCACTGTTATTATTGATAACTTTAATGCTATCATAAAAAATACTAAATGTGTCTTAACTATTTACATGATTACGGCAGTAACACCAATGACAATAATAATAAGCATAATCATGGCAATAATGATAATTATAATCACAAGATTTTTTAAATGGAAAAAGCATATCATAATAATAATAGAAGTAATGATGATAATAATGAGAATTATAACAATAATAAAAGTAATAATAATAATAACAAAAACAACAACAAAACTAGTAATAATAAGAGAAACAAATAATAATGATAATAATAACAAACATAATATGCCACAATGATTTCAATAATTATGGTATCAAGATAAAGATAATAACGATAATAACATCAACATAAGTAATAAAGCAGAGTAATCATTACTGCTATATAACCATTACCATTATTACTGCTATTACAGAAATATCAACAGTAAATATAACGTTTTCTGTCAATTGTAAGCTGTAATACTAATGAACAAAAAAATAATTCCTTTACCATACATTCGAGGCATTACCTGAAAAGCATGTTGTTGTTCCAGGCGTCCCCATGGCATAAGACATGGTACTTGGTGGATTTCACATCACTCTCAAATATCTCTTGCAGTTTTGCCTTGACGTTCTTCACCCAGACTATAGTACTTTCATATCCACCAATTTTACTCAGTATGGTTACCGAAGTATCGAGTGTTCTTTCCAGTATTGGCAGCACGTTCGTTGAGCCTTCGACAAGATTACCCCAAGGTCGGTTTAAAAGCTTGGCCTCTAAGCTTTCGGGTTTCCTTTCCTGCAGGAGCAAGGAGGCGGCGTGGAGCTTGGCTAAGCCTTTGAGAGCCAGCTTGGCGTGCGCAACGTCCAAGCCCTTCCTGCGATCGAACATCTTAAAGCCTCTCGTCCTCAGATCTTCCAAGATGATGAGTTCCTTCTTCCTTTCCATCCCGCTGTAGTAACACAGTGGCATGTCCAGCCCCCCTAAGCCTGTTGCTTGCAATATTGAATTCATCTGAGGGAGGAGATTCGTGTAGAAATCCGCCTCCTTCAGGAAAATCGCGTGGGTTACATCCTCGTAGCTTTTGGCGTCGTGGCAAGGGTTGGCCTTGATGACATAGGAGACTCGCCTTACTTCTCCACCGAGGGCGTAGTCCGCCTCGACGCTCGTCACCAGTGCCACGTAGTTATCGCCCTTCCTGGTGAAGTCCTTGATCTTCCACGAGACGAGCTGAGCTTCGCTGCCCTTGTCCGCCCTCAGAGCCTCCTTCACGGCCTCCTCTGTGATGAGACTGTGGCAAACTCGAGTTCTTTCTGGTGAGACGGTAGAACATTAGGAAATTAAAAGTACGATTTTTTTCAGGAATAATGTAGCAGGCTTTAAGT